AGCCTTATGATTGTATGAATGCCCTAATAAGTCGAGATATCCTTAGATCTATTCATTGAGAAGTTTCAGAGCCCAGATCTATTGCCTTTATGAAGATACTTTGCATGGAAACCCTAGATCTAGCCTTTATTATGCTTTTTGAGCTATTTTATCTTCATGAATGCAGTAAAGATAGAATCTTTACGTGCTAATCGAGTTAAGGGAGTCCAGATCTATAAGTTTTATGCACTGGATTCAAGCAGAATCAAGTTTTGAGTTGCTGCATGCAAGCGACTCGGCGAGTCGGAAGAACGACTCGGCGAGTCGAGCCGCGAGTCCCCGATTTTTCCCTTTTTGAGTGATGCCGAGTGAGACCAGTGAGTGATGGAGTGGACTCAGTGAGTTGTGGTTAGACTCAGTAATGGAGGGACTCGGCGAGTTGTTCATACAACTCGGCGAGTCCAAGGCAATCTTCTTAGCTCGAAGAACAACTCGTCGAGTTGTTCATACGGCTCGGCGAGTCTGATGCAGATTGCCTGAAGTTTTAGATTCGAAAGGGAACTCGTCGAGTTGATGCCATACTCGACGAGTAGCAGCGAGTAGGGTGAGAAATGAGAGTAGGGACTCGGCGAGTTGGCGGCCCAACTCGGCGAGTCAGGTCAACTGTAAAGTTGACTTTGACCAGGAGAGTTGACTTTAGCCAGGGGTAAAGGAGTCATTTACCCCAATACAGTTATTAATAATTTGATTGAGTGTAATTGTGGATTTGTAGCCGGGGAGATACCGGAGCAGCAGCAGATAGTTCCCGGAGCCACACACTCAGCAGCCAGATCACGAGGTGAGTTTCCCTTCAGTAGGAACGGGTCTAAGGCCACAATGCCGGCCCGTTTAGCTAGCAGTAGTATCCGGACTTCGGTTCGATGCAGATTTTAGTATGTTTGATGCCTTCGTGGCTCGGACAGTATTTGGTGTTATGTGTTCCGGGTTACATCCCGATGTAGTATGCTATGTATGTACTCATGTTAGTTGATATGCTTATGTGATGCTATGTTCAGTATGTTCCGGACTTCTGTCCGATGCAGTCAGTTCCGGACTTTGGTAGTTCCGATGCAGGAGGCAAGGCCTCAGTAGTTCCGGATCCCGATCCGATGCAGAGGGCAAGGCCCTGGTAGTTCCGGACTTTGGTCCGATGCAGTTTCCGGACTTCGGTCCGATGCAGTGGGCAAGGCCCAGTATGTGATTATATGTATTATTTGGTATGTGGTAGTTTGGGGGAGCTCACTAAGCTTCGTGCTTACAGTTTCAGTTTTGGTTTCAGGTACTTCCGCAAGCAAAGGGAAGAGCTCGAGTTGATGGCATCGCACACACACACCACAATATCATTGTCCTGGGAGTTGTTTTGTTTTTCATAGATGTGACTAATACATTTTTGATTCAGTTCACTTATAACACTTTATTATTGTTGTGAGATATTGACGTACGAGTTTACCTTATGATTTTATTATGGTGTTTTTAGTAATTATAAAAAAAAATTTGGGTCATTTCTTTTGGGATGTTACAAGTTGGTATCAGAGCCTTGGTTTGAGGGATTCGGGTGCACCCTGGGTGTATCTGAACTCAAACTAAGGGAGAGATAAAAAGATTTTCAAAAAGGAAAAATGTTTTCGAAAAAAAAAAAACACTTAGAAAGAAAAGAAGTTTTAAACAAGATAAGGGTGTGGTGCATGCGATCAGCCGAGCTCAAGTAAGTACTCCCAAATTACCCATACAAGTTTTATAATTATGAATAATTGTTCCAGTTTCAGTAGAACAGCATGCTAGTATAGGACTAAGGATCTAGGAGGATGCCTTATGTGCCTGTTATATGTGTTTAGCTTTATGAGAATTGCATGCTAGTAACGAGTAGACAGCAGTAGGATAGCCTATTTAGGTTATGCCTGGTAGCGCGAGTTTAGCATTGTATGCCAGATCGGTTTCTCGTTATGAGAGTAGGATTGCTTGGGTAATTTCCGGTGTCCGAATGCTGCTTGCTTCGTGCTTTGTAGAACTCTTAGTAATGAGAGTTAGCCGTTAGGTGAATACGTCACGTCACATGTGATCAGGGTTGAATAATCTCAGAGTGTTGGATTTGGCCCTATTGCGCAGCTCTTGTTTGAGTCTAACCGTTGTAGGGACGAGCCTTTTACTCGAAGGATTATCCGAGCCTCATCACATGTGATGGTATTCAGGTGATGGCTAATTAGCATTTCAGGAGGCCTTCAGCAGCTGAGGACTGTTTTGAGCAGAGTCAAGATTTCCCTAGGGCAAGCCTAGGATGAGAGTAGCAGAGAGCAGCAGTAGTAGAAGTGACTTGGTGGAGTCAAGGCAGTTCTTGAGGAAAGTACGGATAGATGTGGAAGGTAGTATGGGCCCGTACTACTGAAAGCAGAGGATCCGTACTCGAATCAAGGAAGGCCAAGACAAGACCAGGAAGCTAGTAGTAGTATCATGATCCCTTGAGATATTTCAGTTTTCTGATGTTGTTATGATATGTTTCAGAATGGTAGTTTTGCGTTCGAGACCAGCAGTCGGCAGTTCAGATGCCGGAGGGGGATCAGGATCAGGATCAGGCCCGGAGGCCGGGCAGATGGATGAGCAGACCAGAGAGTTCCTTTCTTCTGAGGTTACCCGCATCATACTGGAGCAGACTCCTGTGATCTTCGGTTCGATCAAGGAGGGTATTTTAGAGCTGATGGATGAGAGATTGGGCATTTTCCGTGCCGAGATGGCGGCCATGATGGGGTCGCGCACACTTACGTTCAGGGAGTTCAGGGCATGTGGAGCTCCAGACTACCATGGGGCGCGGGACCCCATAGCGAGCACGAGATGGTTGGCGGATGTGGCCAACGCATTCCGCACTAGCAGGTGTCCCGAGGGGGACAAGGTTAGATTGGCGTCCTGTCTTCTGAAGGACAGGGCACGGATTGGTGGGAGGAGGTCGGTCATACCATTGGAGATGATGCAGCGTTAGATGCCATGACCTGGGCCGATTTCTCTACCAGGTTCAGGGCAGAGTTTGCACCAGTTATTGAGGTACAACAGTTAGCCCGAGAGTTTCAGGACCTCACCCAGACTACAGAGACCGTGGCGGAGATCACCGCCAAGTTCAGGGAGAGGGCTCTTCTTGTTCCTCAGTATGCAGCCGATGAGGAGATGAAGAAGGCCCGTTATCATGAGATGTTGCGAGTGATATCCGCATGTTTGTGAGCCGGTCCAGCTGTAAAACGCTGGATGACATGATTGCTAGAGCTCGGGAGAGGGAGATTGACCTAGAGATGGAGAAGAAGAGGAAACCGGAGGCGGTTTCGGGTTCAGGAGGTTCGGGCAAAAAGCCCAAGGTATCTGATCACAGGTCCAGGAGTCAGCAGAGCCATGGTCGATGTGGCAAGTGTGGGAGATTGCACGAGGGAACGTGCAAGGCAGGGAGTTCCGGCTGCTACAAGTGCGGTCGGACTGGGCATTTGAGCAGGGATTGTACGGCCCCTGCTACTGCTGTTGCAGCATCAGATCTGATTTGCTTTCAGTGCAATCAGAGGGGACATAAAAAGTCCCAGTGTCCAAGTTTAGCTGCAGCAGGGAAGGTGGTTGCACCTGCCCCTGCTACTTTGAGGATTACAGATTGCTGTCAGGGCCGAGTAGAGACACCAGTGGCTAGGAGTCAAGCTTTTCAGTTGACAACAGAGGAGGCGCAAGCGACTCCAGATGTGGTGACGGGGTCGTTCTCTGTGAACGACATCTCTGCTACAATATTATTTGATTCGGAGGTTACCCGATCGTTTGTATCGCTAGCGCTTAGCAAGAGATTTTGTAGAGCTCCTGGGGAGCTGGATTGTCCACTAGAGGTTGAGATAGCAGATGATAGGACCGTGAGGGTTGCCAGAGTACATCGAGGATGTTCTCTTCAGTTGTTTGACGAGCAGTTTTTGGTGGATTTGGTCCCTATTCCCCTGCGAGGAAATAAGGTTATAGTAGGCATGGATTGGTTGAGTCCCAACGGGGCCGTGATTGATTGCGAGTTACAGCTAGTGAGGATTCGCACTCCCAGTGGTGGTGAGTTAGTGATTCAGGGCGAGAGGCCACATCGTGGACCAGTTCTTTGTTCAGCCGCGAGGGCGAGACGCTATTTTCAGCAGGGTTGCGCAGGCTATGTAGCCTACGTTATGGATGTCCGGGAGGAGGGCAAGTCGACAGTGGACGATGTTCCGGTAGTGCGAGACTTTCCGGATGTATTCCCGGAGGATTTACCTGGAATACCTCCCGAGAGACAGGTCGAGTTTGGGATTGACCTAATTCCTGGTGCGGCTCCGATAGCCAAGGCACCGTATCGGTTAGCTCCCCCTGAGATGCAGGAGTTGTCTACGCAGCTGCAGGAGTTGATGGATAAGGGTTTTATTTGGCCGAGTAGTTCACCCTGGGGGGCGCCGATCTTATTTGTAAAGAAGAAGGATGGGTCGCACTGTATGTGCATCGACTACCGGGATCTGAATAAGGTAACGGTGAAGAACCGTTACCCTCTCCCGAGGATCGATGATTTGTTTGATCAGCTTCAGGGAGCGTCTTGGTTCTCCAAGATTGATTTACGCTCCGGATATCACCAGATGCGAGTTAGAGGCGAAGATGTGCAGAAGACTGCTTTCAGGACCCGATATGGTCATTATGAGTTTGTAGTGATGCCTTTTGAGCTCACTAATGCTCCAGCCGCATTCATGGACCTCATGAATCGCGTATGCAGACCGATGCTGGATCGGTCTGTGATAGTATTCATAGATGACATCTTGGTGTACTCCAAGACTCAGGAGCAGCATGAGGAGCACCTGAGGGAGGTGCTAGAAGTGTTGAGAAGGGAGAGGCTTTTCGCTAAGTTCTCCAAGTGCGAGTTTTGGTTGCGTGAGGTGCAGTTCCTTGGTCACCTTAATGAGAAGTTAAGGGTAGGTGAGTTGGTGAAGCATGTGGTGGTTGTTAAAGATAGTCCTTCAACACGAATGATGAGTCTTCCAACCACTAGAAAACTTGCATTGAAGAATAAGATTGTTTTTGGGACAGGAGATTATTGGCATTCTCCAACATTAACTGCTAACATGGGATTTGTTAGAGCTGTTTCACAAACAGGAATGTCTCTTTTTACCTTTGAGCATAGACCACGTGCTCTCACAGGTGATTGATTAATTGATTTGTTTCGGTGGTTATTTTTCTTGTATGTTTTGAAGTTGTGAATGAAATATGTGAGAGAGTATTTTTTTTGTGTGCGTCTGTTACTAAAGATTTGTTTACAGTGTAGAACTGGTAAAAAGGAAAAAAATACAGTTTTTATAACATATGCCAAAACAGTTATCATGATATCGCTATAATTTGGTACATTTTTAAAAATAAAATGTGGTAACAGAAACAATGAAACTAGGATGCCACATAGATAAATTTATGTTACTACTTTATATACATTTAACGCTGAATAAAATGAAATAGTGTTTCAAATTTTACATCAGACCAATGTTTTAAACTCGGGTTTTTGGTTGACCCGGTATGATGACCGGTTCACGGGTCAACCGGTTCAACCGGTTGAACTGCCGGGTCAACCCGGTTTATGGTCTTTTTCTATTTTTATATATTTTTACTTTCATGCATAATGCATAAACATATACAACCAATAATTTAATGTCCACAAAGTTTAAATATTTAAAAACATTGAAGAAACTGCAAACGGCTCGTTGTTTTGGTGTTCGCTACTTGTTTCCAACTATCCAAACCCTATTAAAATGGGTCAATACGGTTTTAACCAGTTCGACATAAGCGGTTAAACCACGGTTTAGTGGAAACCCGGCCGGTTCTATCCGGTTTGTATTTTTACAAAAAACCGGTCTGAATTGACCCGCCTTCTACCCCGGGTCATGGTCCAACCGGTTGAGCCGGCCGGGTCAACCCGGGTTTTTAAACATTGCATCAGACTCATGTTTCGAGGTCGACCACACATAGCCACCTTTTTGATTGTGGTCATCTTCTTGCTCTCATAAAATCCTTCTTAAAATACACATTTTACGTATTTTTCTGTTTTTATCAAATGCACTCCTCTATATCTTTAAAATATGTATTTTTTTTTCTCTAATTGCTTACTTCATTACAATTTTGTATACTTTTTTCTGTATGTCCTTCCGTTATAAGTATCTTGTTAGAAATGTTTTTAAAAAGTTCTTCTTAAAACAATAAGGGGGGGGGGGGGGGAATATTACAAGTGTTATTTGCTTTGGATTCAATCTAAGAATGGAATTAGGATGACTTTCTTTTGCAGCATCAAAGTTGAGATTTCTTGATAAATAACAAGTTTCTTAAGTGTAACCTAACATATTCTTATTCATTCCTTTATAAGTACCGGTTCATATCGCGTCTTCATTGCCCAAACATTAGTCCCTTTCCAACTTTTATATCCACTGTTTTGCTTTAAGGTACAAGTTTCATCTCAATACAACATGTTACACTTTTTCTATTTCATTTTTGAGTTTTTTTTTATATATATGTAGAAATACAGAAAAACATAAAGAAGTAGGATTTAATCATGTTATATGCATATTTTCAATTCAATTATTGTTCATTAGAACGGTGGTGTGATATTTAGTTATGGATTTTAATATGGTTCACAAAGATTGAGTTGAAATCACCAAGTAAAAGGATATATGTTTTTTTGTGTATCCTGTATCCATGATATCTGATAAGCAGAAGGAAATTGATCATGAGTTTGCCTTTGATCAAAAAATCTTGTTTGGAAAAAAACCAAGCTAATTAAGACGAGCATTTATCTGCATGATTTATATATCGTATTTAAATTTATTTGGATGTTGAAACCATGAACTTCACTTAATGTGCAAGTTGAGATCAAACGTTGATCTCATGGTTTCTACTTGATAAACCTAAGAGTGTAAGATATGTCTACACACGATTGACCAATGATTTTTCTTATGTGATGGCATAAAGATTCATGTTTCTAGCTGCATCTATTTGTGTAGCTAGACATTTCATCGATATCTGCAATGGAGCAACTTGAGCACTTCAGTCACAATCATCCACTCAACCTTGTCCAACTACAGCCAAACCACAATGAAGAGGAAGAGGAAGAGGAAGATGTAGATGACCTTGTGGTTGAAGACCACCATGTTGGCCAATGCAACATGTGTGAGGAAGACATTTATTCATTTCATTTATGTTACTACACTTGCAAGAATTGCAGCTACTCTTTACACAAATTTTGCGCAGAAATCCCCAAAACCCTACATGACCACCCATTACATAATCCTAACCACAATCTTACCTTGTCCAAGGGATTTCCAGATCCAGATCTTTATTTTAGTTCAAATAAAGAATGGACCTGTGGTTTATGCAATCATAAGCGGAATAACTTCTTCAATTACCATTGTTCCATTTGCAAATTCAATATGGACATAATTTGTGCTACCATGTCTCAACAAAAGATAAACCACCCAAGCCACCATCACCAACTGCAACGTAACCCAAAGAAATTGGTATCTATTTGCAATGCATGTGGTCGTGAACATGAAGGGACTTTCTACCACTGCACCACTTGTTATTGGTTTTGGATCCATCAGAATTGTGCTTTGTCTCCTACCAAATTACTTATCCAACAACCTACTAATCACACTCTCACTCATGCTCATCCACTTACCCTAACATATTCCTTTCCCAACATTGATCAAAAAGTTAAGTTCTATCCCAAATGTAGAATTTGTGATACAGGCTTCTACATTTACTTTTGGGTTTACAGGTGTGATAAATGTCGATATTATGTCCACATTCACTGTGCAACTTCAAAGTACGACCAGTTTTTGCGCCCAGGTAATATATATATATATATATATATATATATATATATATATATATATATATATATATATATATATATATATATAGGTCCGGATACGATAAAATCCAAAAAATTGGTATGAATCGTAAGGATTATTCTCCATTAATGATTTCGTCAAGGACACAAACGTTAAACTCATTTCCTTGGTTTTAACGTTTTTTTTTTTTTGTTTATTTTACTTTAATATATATATATATATATATATATATATATATATATATATATATATATATATATATATATATATATATATATATTTTAATACATACTTGAAGATAGTAGGAGTTTTTTCTTTATTTTTGTTTTTGTATTTTGATTTTTTTGCTTTTTAAAAAAAAAAAAACTAAATATCGGTTTTAGTTTTAATGTTTAACCATTATAAAATTTTAAATAAGAATAATATTAAGAATCATAATATTTTCCGTTCATAATTTTTTTGAATCATATTATTTTTGGATCATAAAATTTTGAATCAAATTATTTTGAATCGTAACGATATTATGCATCATAAAGTTTTGGATCATAATATATTGAATTAAATAAAGTTTTTGTTCAATACAACATTTAGATCATTATATTTTTTCAATCATTTAATTTTGAATCATATAAAATATAATAATAAAGGATTATTAAATAATTGAATCAAAATATTTTTAGATCATAACAAGTTAAAGATCATAAACATATCGAATCATAATATTTTTGAATCATAAATATTTTGAATAATCTCTAATTGATCATATTATGTTCAACATCTTTTTAAAAACTTTTAATTTTTTAAAAACAAGTTTGGTATGTAAAACACATTATGCTTATTTTGTTTAATATTTTTAATCTTTTTAACTAACAAAGTCCTTTTAGAATAGTGTGTAATAGTATTTCTTAAATTTTTACTAAAATTTTTGAAGAAATTTTTATAGTGTGTAAAAGTATTTCACCACATTCATTTGAAACTCTCAAGACCTTTCATTTTTTTCTAATAATAATTATAAGTTGGTTAATAAGGTTAAATAAATATCAAAACTAAAGTGTAATCATATATAAACTAAATTTAAATATTGAAGTATATCTTTCTTCTACTTATAAATTTATGTTTTTTAACTTTTAATATTTTATACTTGATTATTAGTTTTAATATATTGATAGATGTAAACTATCATCATTTTAAAGATACAAATTTGGAACAATTTATATAAAATATTTAGATTATTAATTTAAACATTATATTACAGGACCAACTTAAATATAAATTTTAGTTTAACTTAAACAACCCAAAAAAATATTTTGTAAATAGATAAAAATGATAAATTGTAGTGTCTCTCTAATAATGATTATAAGTGGTTAATAAGGTTAAATAAATATCAAATCTAAACTGTATGTATAAATAAACTACATTTCAATTTTTAAAATAATTTCTTTAATTTCTACTTATAAAGTTATGTCATTCACTTTTAACATATTATGCTTAATTTGTTAGATTTAAAATATTGTTATATATAAACCATTATCAATTTAAAGTTATAACTTTTGAACTGTTTGGATAAAATGCTTAAATTATTAATTTAAATATGATATTACAATGTCAACTTAAATATAAATTTCAATTCCACTTACAAAACTAAAAAATATTTTGTAAATAGTTAAAAGTAATAAATTATAGTGATAAATGCAAAAACTAAATTGTAATCTCAATTTAATTAAAATATTTTCTAAATATATTTTTTATAATCATTAAAAGTTTCAAATAAGTAAATTAAAATAATTTACAATAACAATAGTTAAAAATAACTCTATATAAATGATTATATTGTTAACTTAAAAAAAGCAACTTTTGATGTTTTAAATAATTATAATGATAGAAATTAAAATATTAAGCAAATAAATTTTAAAAAATTAATTAACAATAACAACAACTATAAATAACAGTAAACCATATATTATATTTAATTTATTCATGTGTAACTTGTGGATAGAAGTCATTCAAACGATTAAGATTATAAATATATATATATATTATCATATAATTCAAAATAATCAATATATTATATTAATTTATTATACAAATCATTATATCAAATTTAACATGTTATTGTTATATTTAGAAAAAAAAAACATATATTTATAAGGATTTCAACTATATATGTGTTTCTACGCAACGTACGAGCATTCACCTAGTTTATTAAATAAAAAAAAACTCATTTAACCTGTCGTCGACATGTGTAGTAGGAGGAGAATTTGTTTGATACGTCCGAGATTTCACGACAATGGCAGTTTAGGCCAATTACTTTGCTACCCTTCAATTTTTACCTAATTACCATCTAGCTTTTATCACTTACACAAATGACCTTAATACTGATGATGGTTAATCAGTTTTTGAGTTCCTACATGATTGTGTGTGTGTGTATATATATATATATATATATATATATATATATATTTATATATATATATATATATATATATATATATATATATATATATATATATATATATATATATATAGAGAGAGAGAGAGAGAGAGAGAGAGAGACGAATGAGGACTCAAAAATTAATGAGGACGGCGAGGATAAATCTATACCATTTATTAATTAATTTTAATAGTTAGATTTATTAAGTTGAAAATAAACAAGTCTAGAAAAACAAGGGTTTATTTACCTAATTATCATAAAAAAGAAGGGACCGTTTTTTAAGTTGGGTGAGTAGAAAAGTAATCTACCTTTTCTAATAAATAAAACCTAAAAATGGTACGTGTCAGTTTTTTAGAATCTCTTTTTGATACGTGATATTTTTCTACGATTCTTATTATTATTATTATTTTTTTGGTATTAAATTAAATTCAATTCAAAATTTGAAAATACACAATCATATCCTAATAACATTGTTATGTTTATTTTGCTTAACAAATTAATTCATAACTACTTACAATTGATAATATCTTAGGGTTTTTTTGACATTTTTTTAATTTTTTTATCTATATAAAATTTTTAAATATACTAATTGTGGTTTCTACAAGTTAGAACCTAGTAGAATATGAGGTATTCTCGTCCAAACGTACCACAGGCGCCTAATTCTCCCTACATGTGACACGTATCGCCACTACGGGAGTGAGTATTTTTCATTTTTCAACAGTTTTTTTTTGTCAATAATTTTTTTTTCTGTAAAAATAAAAATGAGAAAAAACCAAAATTATTAAAATTTAATTTCTACAAAATAACCACAATAATGAAAGTCTGATTTTTTTTTTAATTTTTCATAAAAAAAGACTTGGAAATTTTCTTCAAATAAAAAAAAAGAATTAAATAATATTTCTACTTATTATAGTACCGACTTTGTAAAAAGAATTTAAAAAAATAAGTTTTTTAAAGTATTTATATTTTGATTTTAAGAAATATTTGTTTTTATAAAATATAACATAATTTATTTTTTATTCAAGTTCAAAAAAATAAATGATAGAGTTCATCATAATACTATTTTTATAAGTGTGTAATTATTTTTTCCAAAAATACTATTGTTAAAGATACAAAGTTACAAAGGTTTTATTTAAATGTTTCTAACTTTTTATAAAAAATAAGACGTTATATTTTTTATTTTTTAAATTAGAAATCATTTTAAAGGTTTAATATATTTTTTATATTATGAACTTGTTAAAATGAAATTTTAAAAAATAAGGTTGTCTAGATACCAAACTTAATTTTAAAAAAATATATATATATATATATATATATATATATATATATATATATATATATATATATATATATATTCTTTTTTGATGTTCTCAAAGATTTATTGGTCTTAGATAAAATTTCAGTATTTGTTTTTTTTATCAGGTCGTGGAAAGATTTGTAAAAATTTCAAAGATGATGACCATCCTAATCTTCTCTGTTGTCCATTTCCTGATGAAAGTTACAATCTTCTCAAGCACCATTTTATCAATAATGAGAATGACTTTGTAGTACTTGATGAAAACCATGGTGAACCGCTCAAACATCTTACTCATAATCACCCACTGGTTCTTGTAGACAAGCAAACATCACTCAATAAGGATTCAATTTTACTTCACAACCCCTTGAAGAAAATTCAACTATTATGT